TTAATTCAAGATTAATTTTGCAAAGCCGTTCAACCGAGAACTTTTTAACAGGAGTTAAAATGGTAAATAGTGGATGTGGCACAAGTGAAAATTTTCGTACTTGTTCATTTCTTTCAACGAGGTTTGAGCCAATGTGTGCAATGGTTTTTGATATTCCACGTTCATCGGAGTTCAGAGACACGCTGATAATTAATCAGTGTCTGGTTTACTACAAATATTGGGGAAACGTCAGATATCGAGAGCCATTGGACACAGCTGAAACCTGGAGACCTCGATTAAAAATTTAGAACTCTCAACCAGAGTATCTTTTGAAAAAAAAAGTATTTATCCGACTTTTCGATAATTAATCAGCGATATCGAGAAGCAATTGGAGACCTTGATTAGCAAATTCAAAATTCCCAACTGGAATATTTTTTTGAATTGCGAATCAAGACTTCTAGCTTTGAACCATGCTTCCAATGGCGTCTGATATCCGACGTTTCGATAATTAATCAGCGATATCGAGAACCAATTGGAGACCTCGATTAACCTGAGAATTCTAACAAAAAGAAACACTCGTAAATTTTAGAGTACAGCGATACCTCTGGTACCAGTCACAGACACAACGTTCCTTCGAACCCCGCAACAGTGGTACCAAAGAATACCACCGCCGACGCAAATGCACATATCCAGCTCCTCGTCGACGCCTATGTGTACTTCCGTGCAACCGTTAAGGGCCGCTACTATCACGCATCACCCATTACAAGTATGAAATAATGGCGGACGAACAATAATTGAGCCGCTGAGAAGTCGGAATAACTAACTCCGTGAAATAATATATATTAAATTTGTTTCATTTATGATTCGATACTAAAATTGGAAGAATATTAAAAAGTCGAGTTCATTTTAGCTTCTGAGTGGCTCAATTCTTATTTCATCAAATGTACACAGGGTGTTCCAGCCGAAGGAGGCTATCTAAACATCCCCCTTCTTTTTAACGATGTGAGAAATGATTAATCTTGAAAGAAACTCGAAAGAAACGACCTTAAGGAGAATAATTTTTCTTCCCCCTTGCAAATGCGCTTTAACCCTTTCACTGCTATCGAGGCTTTGAAAATTTTCTCGCACTGTGCTGTTGGCGACTTTTGACACACTTCCACCTTAATTCGATCCTTAAATTGTGCTTAAAATTCAATACTTCGAGTACTCTCACTTTCACACTAAAACTACCGACCGGGTCAAAATGACCCATTTAGAGACTCTCCAAAAGTGAATTTTTATGTAAGTAAACCGTGATTGGAAAATTCGATTCATACCGATACAAATGGAAGCGTACATGTAGAATATAAATTCGGAAAGTTACAAGCGATAATACTTACCAGTATAGAACATTCACGTTTTTTCGAAAGATACTAATGGGCCATTTTGACCCGGTCGGTAGTTTTAGTGTTAATTTAACACGTTAAGCGCGGCGTCAGTCCGTGGGGACTGACGGTGAACTTTTCGTTTGGGTGGCGTCGGTCCGTGGGACCGGCAGTATCATGTTTAAAAAATAAACGTTATGCACGTCTCCTTTTTTTTTGCAATTTATGAACGCTTCTTCTATCAACCCGGATTGGTATTTCTTCGTCTGAATGCCGTGTGAGCGCATTTGTTATCTTCTGTTTATACTCTATAACCGAACAGCTCGCAAAGTGATCGCCGCTGTGTACCGCCTGAACGGGAAGCAGAGCGAAAATCGGCTCCGCGCTCAACGTGTTAATAATATAAATTTAAAAATGATAAATTTTGGAATTATTTGAGGCCTCTGGGTGTAAGCCGTGTCCAAAAGAATTTACATTCCGACGTTTCGCCAGCATTGCAGCTAGCTTCATCAGGGTCTGGAGACGTACTGATAATAGTCGCACTGCTATTACACCCGGAAGCCTCGAATAATTCCACTGATAAATCTGAAATTTTTCAAAATTTCTAAACGCCAAAACGAAAGATTTCGCCGACAATCTACCGCAGCGAAAGGGTTAAAGCTCTCTCTCACATGGTTAAAAACAAAGAAGACACTTAGGTAACCTCCTTCAGCTGCGAT